TATCCCACTGTAACTTTACTGTATAAAGAGCTAACATCTCCAAAAATGTCAGGAGTAGTTAGTCATTACAACAAGTGTTTGTGAACTAAAAAACAAGAATGTGGGATACTGTTTGTGATTTGAAGAGCCCAGCCCATGCTCCCGACGAAGGGAAAAGCAGTTATGCAGGGGAGACCTACCTTGGCACTTGTGCAGGTGAAACCAAAGGGTTTCACCTGCACAATATTTTCACCTTCACCATATTTTCTAGTCTTTGGCTTAGAATGAAGTTGGTTTGGAAACATATTCAGCGATGCTTCATCTCCTCCTTTGCGTTTGTGTAGGCGCCCTGTGCTAGCAGTGGCCAAGCGTTTTGTTTTTTTTCCTTTTCATATCGTGCCCCCCCCCTGCAATGGCTCTGCGCCCTCCCTAGGGGGCGGGCCCCACACTTTGGGAAGGTCTACCCTAGTCTATATTATGGTTCCCTTTTACTTTCCTCTTATTCTTTTTTTTTTGTGTGGAAATAAAAATATATTGCCTTGTGTAACATGATTCTGTGATTCATTGACCGGAATATGATCTTCTAGTAGAAAGACTTGACCCTCTATTTAGGAACCTGCTGAAAGTGTACAGGTGCACTCTCAAAATACATTCACAATTGTGCAATAATAAATAACAGAGCAGAATTTATTTATTTTTTAGTATGTGTCACCACACATAAGTGTAGTTATATTACAATAATGTTTGTATTATGAGTGAGGTGAACAATTATCTCCACAATCTCATCTTTGCAGTTTGTTGAAGCATTGAAGCTCCTTTCCTCAGTGTTTAGAGAACTCCAACTCGAACTCTTATTATGGCTGCTGTGTAGATACCTCAGGGTCAGCTCTTCATCAGCAAAACACAAAACTAACTATTAGAACATAACCTCAGGGTTGTTCAGTTCAGTTTTATTTATATAGTGTCAAATCACAACCACAGTCACCGCAAGGTGCTTGTTGAAGAAAACAGGTGAACAGTTTGACTTCACAGAGTCTGTTACCATGGTAACTGATACTTTCTGAAACAGAAAACTGTTTTCATCATCTCAACGTTAATTACTAAGAGTTTTCACCAAACCTGTTTGGAATGGTGCCCCGGCCGCCTGTAAAACAAAGGATTTTTAAAAAAATATTTATTAAAGCCCTGCATGGATCAGCTCCACAGTATATCACAGTTGTATTAACTCAATATTTCTGTCTCTGAGGTCATCCCCCAACAACTTCTCTCAGACCTCCTTTACCTGGAAACAAAAGGTAAGCAGACTTTCTTTGGTGTTGCTGCAGGGTACTCACTAACGCATGTAATGTGCTTGGCTTGACCATACATACAACTATCTAGTCCTGTCTTAAGTAACCAGCCTGATTAGCCAATGAGCCATAGGTAAATATGATCTAATGGGTGAGGAACCTGGAGGAATGCGGAGAAAGCACCTGAAGGAAATTAAACAAAATACCCCCCCAAGCATACACATACAAATACTGACAGAAAAACAAGAAAGACAGAAAAGCAATGGAGAGGGAGAGAGAAAAGGCAGGCCAGCCTGAGAGGCCTCAGGAACCATGACAGTTATGTTATTTTCATATTTTGAATGT